GTTACAGAAAATGCTCCTTATTCACATTTTTATCTACTTTATCATAAAATGTAGTCAGACCTTTAGTTAAATAATCAAAACATGTAACGAAATATATGTCGTTGTTTGAATCTTCCCATTGATGGTTAAGACTACAATCGATTAGTCTCTTATTGGCATATGTGCATCCTATTATTATTATTATTATTATTATTATTATTATTATCAGCTTTATTCAATATTATATTTTTGGTACAATATAGAATTCTCAGCTTTAAGCATTTCAACGAGTTTCCGTTTCTTTCTTCTTGGTCGATCCTGGCGATAAATATTGAGTGATCGCCAGTTAGATGTTAGCAGTTCACTAAATGAACATCTGAATAATGTGCGTTCTTTCCGTTGTATATTGCCAGGAACCACATTGTTTCTTATTGAGTTTTTTGTAACTTTGACAACGAAAGGTTGTACACTTTTCAGAAACGCAGCAGAATAGGTTATGCGATTAGTAAACATGGTGATATATTAAAACAAAAATAGACAACTCGTTGAAATACCTAGATGGCAGAAAAAGATAGCCCAGATGATCAAGCAGGCCACCCCTGCCAAATGTGGACTGCCTTGATATTACTATCAAGTTACAATCATTTTAAGCAGAGATGGAAGATGTATGACAGTAGAATGCAGGACTTGTTTTTCATTCTATTTGGGACTTGTAAGCACGATGCACTTACATCGTAGAATTAGTCTTCACTCCGGGAATCGAACCCAGTATCGTTTGCTCCAGTTACCATCGGATTATCAATTTACCTACTAATTTCAAATAACCAATGCCTTGTTAAATTTAGAAAAATTTATTATATCAACGTTTGAATATAGATACATCCAAACAACGAATCCCAAGTAGGACGAAACGCGTGTCCTGGATTTCACTGTAGGCTATTATCTATCTCTGCTTGAAATGAAGCTAAAAAATTTGTTTGAACTGTTTTAAAATAATTCTGTCAATAAATCCTCTCACACATATCATTACCTATAGGCATGTTCCATGTTGAAAAAGTGGCATTTCGTCAAATTAACTTGTGAAACAATACTAACAGCTTATTGGTTTGATTAAAAGTTTACTCTGATATGATGCTGCCAATGTTTAGGCTTTCTAATGATAAGCTGAACAGAACAATTTTTTATTTACCCTAATATTGTACACTTGTAGTGGACGAGAATACAAGTACAGACAATCGAATTGTATTACAGAACATCTCAATAACATCTGAGAACCATACAATGAATAAGTCATTAACAAAATGTCGATCAATCATCTCAGATTTCATTGTTCTTTCGTTACCACATCAATCATTCTCTGTTCTCATTCTCTTCTCTTTGATCTTCTTAACTTTCCGCCATCAGTCATTCCACATTCAATTGACGATACATACTACTTATATCTGTTGACATTAGTAGTACACATCATACAATGATCAATCTATTATCATATGATTATATTGAAGATAGTCAAATGTAACCTCGTTTAATACACAACTAATCATCAGATATATCAGTGAATAATTAAAGAAAAACATAATCTGTTTGTTTCACTAAACACAATGGATTACATAAACTAAGAAGAAGAAGAAGAAGAGGGAGAGGGAGAGCAGGAAGAATATCGGGTGTGGTTGAATAAAAATGAATGAGAAAACAGGTCAAATAAACGTTTATCACTTAATATTCATTTAATATTTACAAATTCCCTAATGAGTTAGTTGAATAGTTTAAACAAATTACAGTATTGATCATTGAACAAGAATGTAGTAACGCCCTGAATATTGTTTATTGGTTGCGAATCACTTTTTCTTATTTTAATAATATAAGGAAAATAAGGAATTATTTGAACGAACTCAAATTCACTTAAGATGTGGTTTCATTATGGGTTTGTGGAGATTAATAAGTTTTTGATTAAGATCATGAATAATCGATTGATGTTAGATCATCATTGAAAACCTTGAAGCACTAGATAGCCGTTTTGTCCGATTGTGAGACTCCTTAACAGTGTGTATCCACGATCCAGCTTGTGGGATTCGAGCCCAGGGCCTTCGATCTCGCATGCGAATGCTTAACCTCTGAACGAACTCTGTCAATGAACTTGGATTTGTCAATGCTTTTTTGGCTAGTGAGGATTAGATCTACATTTTCAAGATTTATGACTTAGTTGTTATATCTTTAATCACATAGATTATTTATGTAATAAAATCTTACTGAATTTTTGATTTTACATCATAGATTGATCTTAATTAAGCACCCTTTTAAAACCGGAAAGCATTGGACAACTGACTTGTTCTAGTAAAGTGTTATGCAGCAGTTAACATCCATGATTTTAAAGGGAATCGAACCCATACACTTTTGAATCAATTAGCCAGTATCCTGTAATGTACTTGTTTGACTTCAATAAAATCACGATACCACTCAGTTATCTTTCAATGTTATTGGTGAGCAACATCATCTTACTCGACATGAATGAACTCTATTAGTTACGGCTATTCACTTGAACTTATGAAGTTATCTCTTATTGAAGGATCCGATACTATGAAGAGAAAGTTCTCCAGTGCTTGTTGATTTTCCAATATATGTTTAACATAGATCAGCTGGAGGTCTAAACTTAAAAATCTTATCTATGTGATCCATATTAGTGTACGTATGTTGTTGTTTTCTTGATTCACTGACACAATAACTTGTCAAGGATGTCAAATACATTCATTAAGTAACAACAATGAACATATTAATGCATATTTTCATAGGTAAAATCACGAACTGCACTTAGTTAGACTACTATTAAAAACCTAAAAGCACTGGACTACCATTTCGGTCCTGTATGTGATCTTGTAGTGGATTAGTGCGAGGATGGCCCATGGGTGAACTAGAGGAAGCTCTAAGAAGCTCAGAAAGAGCCGAAGATATTCCATCCAATCTTCTTTAGGAAGAATATTCTAGAATTCCTACTTGTAGCTTCCCGACTGGACAATGGTAATAACCCTCTGTATGCGGACTGGAGAACTGCGATGATGATTTCATTTTTACTAATAACTAAAAATACCTGACAGATTTTTACTATAATGGGCACTGTCTGGAATAACATTCCTTTCACTTGTCTTCTGTCTTCTCACTGCATCCTAGTGCTCAAGTTATACGTGGTATGTATAAGCTCTAGATATAACAATTAGCTTCGAGATAACTTCGTATGGTTCGTAAATCAATCACCCAGATAATCGTTATTAAATACATTCCAACAGTGTATAAATCCAGAAGGCAACACATAGCGCCAACTACAGTTTATTATTTAGTAGCACAGATGATTAAGCCACAAGCACATCAAACGAATTCCAGCAGAAAAGCTAATGCGCGCGATCTAGAGAATACAAAGACGAATTAAAAATAGAATACTCTAATAAATAATTGAATTAATTAATAAGATCCAAGCATGCATGTATATATATGGGAAAGAGAATGATTTATCGAGCGATTTAAGCAGCTAACGTCTAAGCTAGACAGAGGGTGTGTTCGCAAGCCGTCATATATATAGTCAATAATACATGTTCATACAGACATAATAATAATAACACAAACACATGGACTAATTATCACCGAAAAACACTGTCTACTAAGTAAGTTAATTAAAGAGTTTGACAAAATCAACTGTCAATAAACTCAAGTGTAGGAGAAGTACTATAATCTCTCAATAGTGCACACCCACGATCATGCACCTGAGACATGAACCCACGACCTTCGTTCTCGAGTGGGGACGCCTGACCTCTGGACCACTGGGCTAACATTCACTGGTGTAGATGTCTAGCTTCATTCATTTCATGATATCGCACAACCCTCATCTGTTAGCTTTAGTGCAAACTGGGTAGTACAGAGGTTAAGCGTACACACGAGAGAACGAAGGTCATAAGCTCGAGTCCTTAGTGTGTGGTCGTAGATGTAAACTACTAAAACGTTCCCCACTAGGATGAAATAACTATCAAGTGCCTCCAGGTTCCCAATGGTGATCTAACTAAAATCAATTCGTAATTTAAACTGTGAAAATTGTACTATCTGTACAAATCCCCTTAAACTAAGAAATATATTTATATACAAAAGAAATTGGTTTCTTCAGTCTTCAGTCTTCAGTAATAAGGATAGTAGGTTATGAACCTGTGTTAATCCTGACACATTGCTTTCCAGTGAAGGTCCAGCTTTTCCTTGAAAGTATTCACTGATGGGGCTGATACCACCTGTTCGGGTAAGGCGTTCCAATCATTGACTACTCGATGAGAAAAACGGGATCCCACATTAAGTTTATTAGATCGTGGTTTATGAACCTTCTTGCTATGACCTCGGAGATTATTAGTGCTGGAGGGAGCAAAAAGATAAGACATATTAACACCCAAATCATAATTAAAGATACGAAATGCCAGTATAAGGTCACCGTGTCCTACGATACGACAAGGGGAAAAGATTTAGGCGTTTTAAGCGCTCATCGTAAGGGAGACTAGAAAGACCCTTCACTAATTTCGTTCCCACACGCTGGACACGCTCAAGGGAGTTACATAGTTTTTTTGATAAATAAACATACCGATTATTTTCAAAGTTCTCCCCATAGCTCATCAATCCGAATGTACATGTAAATCCATTAATTTACCTACATTTCTAGGTTCTACTTTTCCTTCTGTAACTCTCTCTCTCTCACTCCCCCCACACTAACACACTAACACACACACACATTTTAAATCACAAAATATTCACTTTGTATATAAAATTCTCTGAATAGTTACTTTGACGGCTAACATACATATATACTTTGACCTAGAAGTATTTAAATTATCAATCTATTGCGCTTAATCTACCCTTTAAGGAAAGAATAGGTTACATATAGTATCTATATATGATAGAATATTATTGATTTTCTGTTCGTTGTTGTTGTTGTTGATATCATCACTATTCATAATTTACATCGCTATTCAACGAACTGAAGTTTTCAATTGCATCTTTTACAATTCATAGGGTAGAAAAAAAGAGGATTGTTCTTTAAAATACCTTTTATTATTATTGCTATTATTCGTATTAGTAGTAGTAGTAGTAGTAGTAGTAGTAGTAGTAGTAGTCGTAATAGTAGTAGTAGTAGTAGTAGCAGTGGTAGTAGTAGTAGTAGTAGTAGTAGTAGTAGTAGTAGTAGCCCCGATATGATTGATTGCCATACACATGAATAAATATTAAACAGCGGATGAAATTTTCAATGTTACCGCTGTTATCATTGTTACTATCATAAACTACAAATAGAGATCAAATCATGACCTTGTTTTTCGATATTAATTAAATCAAGTAAAATTTAAGAAGAATTTCAATTTTCATTATATGAATACATATGTAGAGATTCTGTCAGATACCAGCTCAGTGTCTAAAGGTCAAGTGCTCGCACACAAGACTAACAGGTGGATCCTAGGTTCGAATGTCGCAAGGCGGGATTGTGGATGCGCACTGCTGAGGAGTCTCACAGTAGGACAAAATGGTCATCCATTGCTTTGATATTTTTCATGATGGTCTAGCTTCAATATCCACAAAAACCCCTTCTAATTTTAATTCCTCACATCAATTTATAAACCTTGTTTGACCCTAGTAAGTAGGTAGGTTTTCTTAAAAGATTCTTTCTAGCCTATTATCTTTCAAACAATCAAATGGTTAACTAAAACAAAGTAAAAATTCTCTATGGCTGACATGATAAAGTGTTTCTATGATAAATCTCACTGAATAGAATTCAGACAGAATATTTAAAGGTTAATAATATTGGATGAAATTGAGACAAAGTCAGTAGTATATGTCAGTCAGTCAGTAACAACGTAGAACTTCGTACGTACGTACATCAGTTCGAGTTGCCATACCACATTAGCACACAGGTGCAGTTGCCGAATCAAATCCCGTAGTGGTAGAGGTAGTAAAAGTACAAACAGTAATCAGAAAGATTAGCGTTTAAAGATGTTATTCAAAGAGCATAATCCAGTGAAATGAATTTGGGAAGAGAAAAAATAGGGGACATGAAAAATTCAGGAGATTAGAATTTGGGAGAAGACAAAGAGTGGATGCATCTGTGTCATTGCAAAAGATTTTGAGACATGTCATTCAGTATATGTACAGTAAGCTATAATATACTTCAATCATATCAGATGAATATAATAAGAAGAAATCAACCTGAAAGATAGATTCGAGATTTTTAAAGTACTTCCTCTCTCTCTCTCTCTCTCTCTCCATGTGTGCGTGTTTTTTTTGTTTACATTTGGCTATGAATATAGAACAGTTTAGCTAGTGTTTATCTTAGTTTATCAAGAAAGATTTAGATTCTCTTATTTATTTTGAACACAACTTTTGTCGGTAATGTCAACAAACTACTAGTGTTCCTATGTATCTGTACAAATATTCATCTACACATACAAAAAAAAACATATACAAATGATGATGTATTTAAATTGAACTTACTTACTTACTTACTTACTTACTTACTTACTTACTTACTTACTTACTTACTTCCTTCCTTACTTACTTACTTACTTACTTACTTACTTACTTACTTACTTACTTACTTACTTACTTACTTACTTACTTACTTACTTACTTACTTACTTACTTACTTACTTACTTACTTACTTACTTACTTACTTACTTACTTACTTACTTACTTACTTACTTACTTACTTACTTACTTACTTACTTACTTACTTACTTACTTACTTACTTACTTACTTACTTACTTACTTACTTACTTACTTACTTACTTACTTACTTACTTACTTACTTACCTACTTACTTACTTACGCCTCTTACTCCTTGTGGAGGAGCATGAGCTTCCCACCAGCACCCTCCATTCAACCCTGTCCAAGAAAACGCTTTCCAGTTCTTTCGAGAAATTGAAAATACCTAACATTAAATTGTCTCATATTACTTTTATTTACCTTACATATAATTTTTTTCTGATCTTGAATTACAGAGGTGTTGCACCGTTATGTCGAAGGATACATGTTGCCCAAATAGAAATGATAAAGTTTGTTGAAAAGGGTTAGAGATCTGAATTTTCATAAATCTTCATTGATCCATGTTATAATAACACTACAAGATGAAACAGATCAATCTTCAACGTAGTTGGTTTTCCTTTAAAGTTAAGTTATGAAGAAAAGAAATAGTAAATAAAACCAATCCAACTGATAATTACATAATACGATTTCAGACAACAGATTAAAAGCCAACAGAGCAATACTTTTAAGTACTAAAATAAGCATTCACATACACCTTTGGATCATTTATGATCATCTAAAAAAACTATCCAATCAACTAAATTGTCAATAAACCCCATCGTTTTCACAGATTGAAATCATGAGTCAGTTGAAGCTAGATCACCATTGAAAACCTGGAAGCACTGGACGGCCGTTTGGTCCTAGTATGGGACTCCTCAGCAGTGCGCATCCACGATCCCGCATCAACCCGGGGCTCGAACCCAGGACGTACTGGCTTCGCGCGCGAGCACTTAACCATTAGACCACTGAGCCGGCACCCAACGGTGTTAATGTCTAACTTCAACCAATCCACGAAGTTGCGCCACCATATACCATTGTCTTCAGTGAGCTGATATCTCACAACAGACCTGGTTGTACTCCACTGGTAACGGCTTCCCACTAGAACTCCAGGAGTATCTCTTGAAGTCAGTCATTATTAAATGTGAAGTTAGTCAATCATAATCAATCTACACTAGTGGAATCCTTAAGGTCTCTCAATGGAATATACCTGTATTCTATCCATGTAACGATTTTTCTTTTCTTTCCAGAACCAAATCCATTATTTTACTTACTTTACTTACGCCTGTTACTCCTCAAGGAGGAGCATATGCCGTCCATCAGCACTCTCTATCTAACCCTGTCCTTGGCAATCCTTTTCAGCTCTTTCCAGTTGTTATTCATCTTTTTCGTAGCGGTTTCTATTTCCCAGTGTAATGAAATCCATTATTTACTGTATCAATATTCATATCTCCAACTTATTGAAATCAACCATCATTCAATAAGCCTATAGTGTAATTCAGTATAATCAATTCAACATCAAATTGTAACAATCAGAAATAGTATATAATATCCCCATCGCAACCATACTAATTCAATACAAATCATACCAAAATATTTAATGTTGTCATGAGTAATATTGTAGTTTTTTTCCTTCAATTTCTGTCATCAAATAAGTTGTAGTTGTCAAGATTTCACATCCAATATTACCATGACCACATACCTCGACTCATATACATACACATGCATACACACGCACACATAGTAACGAGTAAACCATTATTAATGTTTATACAAAGATTTTGTATCATGTTATTAAATCAAGATTCTGTGTTTAATAGAAACATCGGGAATAAACGAAATCAGTCAAAAGGAAACAATAAAGAAAGAACTGGACATTTTTTGATATTATGTAGAGGAATTTAGGAAAAGATGATGGAAATGGATAGGATATACATTGCGGAAATCATCAAACTGCATTACGAGGTAAACGCTAACTTGGAATCCTGAAGGTAAGCGAAAAAGAGGAAGGCCAAAGAATTTATTACGTTGGGAAATGGAAGCAGACATGAAAAGGATAAATAACAACTGGCAAGTGCTAGAAAGGATTGTCCAAGACAGGGTTGGATGGAGAATGATGGTGCGCGGCCTATGTTCCTTCACAAGGAGTAATAAGCGTAAATAAGTAAGTACTAACTTGTATTGTTACTTATTCATAGATAAATGTATAAACATAAAAAACAAGCTTTCACAATGATCAGGTTAATAAAATATTCTTAATTGAGGTCATGAATTGATTGATGTTATACTACCATTGAGAACCTAGATTTGCCATCTTCCACAGAAAATACTTTTGTGAAACTTGTGGATGATCTCACTGTATGTATGCTGATTTCTACCTCTTTACATCTCATAAAAATGAACGGGTTTTTGTCTCGTATTGATTGTTAGCCTGTTCTTAATGGTGTAATACTTAATCCATCTAAATTTCAAGCTGTTAACTTTAGCATGAGACATGAACGGCATCTAAAGGTCAATTATCTTGGTGTTACCTTTTCCTCTGATCTCTCTTGGTCTTCTCATGCTTTACCATTATCGAAGAAAGTTTTCCATATGACTTACTACATAAAGAGACTGCATGTTTTTGGGATTACTCGTCATTTACTCTTACAATTTGTCAATTCTTGCATATTACCTATTATTCTTTACTCTTCTCCATTATTCTTCCACGGTATTTTGAGAAAAAAACTTTGCTGTATTGCGTTGAGTGCTGAAGACAGTTAGCAAGATGTGTGGTGAATCTTTCGAGGTCATAATTAATATGGTTGTAGATAGACATCGAAATTCATGCAAATTCCTGGCAAGTGTTGTCTTATCAGATACTAGCTATCCCCCTTTATTCATATCTTTCTCCTTCTTTATCTTCAGGTAGAACGTATTGTTAATACATTAAAATCCATACACTCAAGCAAATGTATCAAAGTTCTATAATACCTTACTTAGCAAATATACTCTGTGACGAACAGGTTGTTAGAGTTAACCTAATCAATAACCTGTATTCTTAAATATGTCTCTAATTTGAAAAGTTATACGGATTCAAGTCATTTTTTCACCTTATTTTGTTGTTTTTGTAAAAGAAACTTGGTGAAATAATTCATACTGAGAATTCTATATTGTACCAAAAGATAATGCTGAATAAAGCCATTAATAATCATAATAATGATAAGTACCGGACGTCTGTTTCGTCCTTTTGTGAGACTCTTCAGTATTGCGATACAATATTTAATAAAATCAAAATCCTAACATTATAATTGATGATTCTAAGGATTGTTTGCAAAAATTGGTACAAATGACTAGTAAGAAGTTGTTAAAGCATTTGTTAAATATGATGATGTTTGCAATTAGTTCACTTTATTCACCGTGATATTTTCTGTATTGATGATATTAGTTCCATACGACAATTGATACTAATGATGAATGTTAACCAGCTAAGTAAGTGATGTTCATAAATAGGATGAAATTCTGTAATGGTTAATTACATAATCAAACTGTGATTGAGTAATAGTTCCTAGATAGTTATAAAAACTATATTTTCTTTATCGAGCTTCATATAGTCACATTCAACCGTAGTTCATATCAAGAGTAAACACTGTTACAAG